TTTTTCTGAATCCAGCCTTCCTTCCCTTCAACGGGAACATCGCTGCGCACGTAGAAATAATGCATTAGATTGAATGGTTAGCTCAGTGGTCCACAGTGAGCAGCTGGCTCAGACAGGAAGTGCTTTTTGGATCTTTCTCTCGTGTCTGATTATTCTTCTGTGCAGACAGCCGTGTCTACAGCGTCGTTTGACCCTGACGCTACAACCCACACAGCTCCTGCACAAACTGTCTCCTTCAAAGTTACCTTACTGTAATTTACCTGTTAGGCTGACAGCAGTTCTTTTATAGTTACATCTGCTGGCTGGGATCTTTTTCTAGCATACACGTGTCGCTAAAATAAGTTATCTCATCTTCACTCTTGATTCAACAACAGTCACACCAGCACCTGGCCACACCACAGAGCAGAGTAAGATTCTTCCATCGCCAAGTTTGAACGTAACTATAACATCACTTCCTGTTTCCACAACTTTCCCCCCCAACTTTATTTTCCACGGCTCATACAGAGCTACAAAAACAAGGACGTGGACTGTATTGCATCAGCTCAACCCAAACGTGGAGCAGCGTGGAGTTCATAATGACGAATCTGAGAGTTTGAAGAGTCCGTGAAAGCAAAGGTGAGCTTGTGATATTTCACATGTAACTGCTGCTAAGAAGCCAGATGCATAAAGTCATAAGTGCGCCTGCTGTCTAACTTTGCCCTGTGCAGGCTTCAACAGCTTCCTTTGTGCACAGGTCACAGTGACTAATGGTGGATAATCTGATCTCACCGGGTAGTGTAGTGGAGCGACCTTTGGATCGGGTGTCACAAGTTCGATTCCCATCCGGTATCCAGTAAGGGTCCTGCTAGACCCCCCCATGCTAAAAAAAACAAAAAAACAAGCTCTTACGTGACGCAGCTACGTCCGCAGCCTGTCCAAGCATTTCGTTATATCCGGTACTGTGTATGTGACAAATAACACTTGTATTGTATTACACACAGTCCTCCACAATTAGTGTGTTTGTGGTGAAAACGGCTCAGCCGGTCACGGTTTGATCTCTCCTGTAGAATTTTGCAGAAGTAAAAGATTGTTCATTTTCTCCGGTCTCGTGATGTGGACACAAACTCTTTTCTCCACAAAAATGGGGCTTAAAGTTTGTAACTCGCCTCACAGATGTGGAGCTGATATAGTCTAAATTTGGCAGCAGGTTTTGTGGGAGCAGGAGTTTTTATAGGAACACACTTTGTTTTAAAATGTATTTTATGATGAGGGGAAGCTTGTAATTCCCCACTGGTGGTCCTACAGTGAGATACAGTCACTGTCATGTTTGTTGGCAAATGCATTTTAGCGTGTTTTGTTGTCTAAGTTTGCATAGTGGACCTACACTTAATATGCCACAATAACAAGGATAAAACTGAACTATACAAATGTTTGTAGTGTCATCATCTTTATCTGGGAGCAGCTGCAGTGGCACAGCTAACAGACATGCTTTCCAGCTGTTAGGTTCTCTCGGTTCTCCCCAGATAGCAAAGTGACTCTGGACCAGATTTACCCGAGTGTGCACCACAGGCTCTATAACAGATCTGTTTACAGAGCCTGTGGTGCATCCACGAGTCTGTGAACAGATCAGGGCTGCAAAGCCTCACAGATGATGTGCAGCAGTGGGTCCCTCAGTCTGTCCTCACTCTGGACACTTGCAGTCGTCACACATGGAAATCAAATGTGTGATAAGCTGCAGGATTCAAACACAAGTGTAACTTATAAACACATGTTCATACTTTTATTCCACAATCA